TTCGTTTTCTTATAAATATGGATACAACAAACAATAGTAATAATAATCAAGATGGGAATCAAAATACTCTTAGTAGTACTATAGATAATAATGTAGTTTTTTTATATAATAATAATAATAATAATAATAATAATAATAATAATAATAATAGTAATAATAGTAATAATAATAGTAATAATATTAGTTTAAATGAAAAATTATTTTGGAAAATATATAAAAATACATATTTAAATAATAAAATTTGGGAAAATGTTAAAATGTTTAATAATATCTATTTAATAAGTAAAAATTATTATTTTGGGCAGCGATTATTGGAGAGTTATCCATTCAAGAGTTATCTGTCCGTAATTAGCTTGTCAGGAGAGTATAGTAGATCACTAGCATCAATATTACCGCCATTTGTTAGAAAGTTATCAATTAGAAATTATTCAAATGGGAGTGGGGATACATCTATACCAGACACAATTACAAGTTTAACACTGGATCGTGTTACTTTTAGTACCGGCCATCCAATAGTCATACCAAATTCTATTGTCGAGTTGTTTTTAGATGGTGACTTTAATCAAAATATACCAATAGGATTCATAAACCCAAACGTTAGATCATTGTCAGTCGGAAATTCTTTTAATTCAATAGTTCATAAGACTCAATTACCATCAGAGTTAGAGTCTATTAGTTTTGGCGAGTCTTATAATAGAGATATCGATTTCTCATCCACTCTACCCTCAGGTATACGATCTATTAGACTCGGTAGTTCATTTAGAGCATCATTTCAAGGAGAGATACCATCATCGTTGGATACCATCCACCTACCATGGAGTTATTTAAAGCAACCTGGCTTATCATACTTGATCAACTCAAGAAACAAGTCTCTTACCATAGTAGTTGAGGGCGAAATCATTCAATCATCCAAAGCAAATATTTACAGTTACTTTGAATCTATCGCTAAGCCAGGATCAATACCAAACAGTACAGTAAAGTTAATTATCATCAATGACATAGAGAATGGTTTCCCAAAAGGTTTTATTCCAGAGTCTGTTAAAGAATTGGTAGTAATGGGAAATATCTATCCTAAATTCCTAATCGAATCTATTCCAAATTCAGTAGAGCGTTTCTCCATTTATAACAAAGATCACTTAAAAATCAATTTTCATAGAGGTTCTTCAAACAAACTTGGTCTTGTTTCAAGTCATTTAAATTGTTATAATTTATGTATCCAAATGCCACTACCAAATAATCATGAAGAGCTATTAATTAATAAAATCATTAATGAAAAAAAAAATAGAAACCAAAATAATAATCATTTAAATAATAATATTAATAACAGTAGCAATAATAACAATAACAATAGTAGTAATAATAATAACAACAGTAACAACAATAGTAACGGGATTAAGCCACAATACGGATCAAATAATGTAATTTATAATTATTTTAAAATGTTTTATAATTTTTTAAAATGTTTTAATAGATTAAGAAAGCAATTGGGCAGCGCAATTTTTTCAAACGATATTGATGGAGAGGATGACTGTTTTTTCAATTTTATATTCAGAAGAGCAAGATCTAGTACAAATAACAATAGTGGATCAAGCGGCAATAGCAACGGCAATAATAATACATCACCCTCAACTACACCACCATTATCACCAAACAGTAATAGTAATAGAAGAATAAATTCATTAAATAAATTTGGTATTTCAATTTTAAACCTTAGTAAAGATTGCATCGCATTACCCTATGGTCTAAAATCATTAAAGTGGGCAGATTACAGTTTACACTTTTTTAAAAGATTAAATAATTTAGATTACCTCTACTCTTCTTTAATTAGTGGAGGTGTAGGTACCTTCAGTAGTCTTTTTACATCTTTACCATCATCATTCAAATACTTAAAGTTGTTTATTCAACTATATCCATCCTCTTCTTTATTTTTTAAAGATTTTTCAAGATTTTAAAATAATATTAATAAATAATAAAATACAGAATCCATTTTGGTAATAAATTAAAAAAATATTATCACAATAAAAAAAAATTTCTTTTTCTATTTTAATTTCTGTTTTTTTTTTTTTTTCATTTTTCATTTTTAAATATTTATATAATTAATATATAGTTAATATTAAATTAGATATATAGTTAATATTTATAATAAATAATTTTTTTTTTTTTTAAATTATTTTTTATTTTTTTTTATTTTTTTTTTTTTCGTTTAGTTTTTTTTTTTTTTTTAATTTTTCATTAATTTTTTTTTTTATAATTTATTTAATTTAAAATTATTTTAGTTTCATATATATATATACCACAAATGAATTTTGCACAAAACTCATCAATTCAAAAGCCAACACCACCAGATAAGGGAAGTTTCCCACTCGATCATGATTCAGAATGTTCAAAACCAATGATGGATTATATGAAATGTTTAAAAGATAATCAAAATCAATCAAGACTCTGCATGGAGTTTTCAAAACTATATTTACAATGCAGAATGGATAAGTAAGTATAGTTTTTTTATTAATTTTATATTTTTTAAAAATTAATTTAAAAAAATATAAACTAATTTTAATTTAAAAAGTAATTTGATGGCTAAAGAAGATATGGATAATTTTGGATTTGAAAATGTTAAAAATGCAAAGATCGTACAGGCACCAAAATATAATCCTAATGAACCAATCGTAGCAGGTTTATCAAGAAGAAATAATAATAAATAGAAAATAATAATAATAATAATAATAATAATAATAATAATAATAATAATAATAATAATAATAATAATACAGTAATAATAAAAATAATAGTTTTTTTTTTTTTTTATGTAAATAGAAAATTTTAAAAAAAGAAATACAAATGAAAGGGTTTTATTTATTTAATTTTATAATATGAGGATTTAAAGCATGTTAATTGGAGCCAGAGTTTAGATTACTTTATTATTGTGTGGTTTAGATAATTAAAAAAAAACTTTAAAGGAATGGGTAAAGATTTAGAATGCTGATACTACAGAAACAAATGTAACATAAAGGAGGAAAGTAAATAGTTATTGATAAAGTTTATTTAATTTAAAATTTTTTTTTTTTTACTTTTTTTTTTTACTTTTTTTTTTTTTACTTTTTTTTTTTTTACTTTTTTTTTTTTTTAGTTATGTATATAATTAACGATTGTAT